GATAAAAGTTAATCACAGGGATATGTAAAAGATATACATGAGGTAGAGTAATCAGCCCACCAGCTCAAGACACAGCTTAGGAACCAAACATTCTGGTTAAGTACTCGCATAAAGAATTTTCACCTCGTCTACACTTTATTTTTCCCTCGAAGGTAGCTGTAGTGATCATCAAATACAAGGATTGTTTTATTTATGTATAAGGTTTGTAAAGAGGACTTCACATTGATCCAGACAAATTAAATATAGTAGTGGAGGAGCGAGCAGGTCACACACTGAGACAGCTTTATATCAGTGAAAGCCAAGTAATGGGTTTTCATCCTAGATCTCACCACAGTCGCAAGCAGTGAGTAGCCATTAATTAATCCTCCACCTGAACTAAAATAATAAGAGATGTATGTGCAACCCATGAAACAATAATAATAATCCTTGCATTTGATATAGTGCCTTATCACATTGTTGAGACGTCTCAAAGCACTTCACAGAATATACTGTAATGTGTAATAACTGTGTTTTATGGGCGAAACAAGGTACAGGTACTGTACCAGATGGAATAAAAAAGGGACTTAGAGATTTTATTGAACTGGAATTTCACATCCGATGATTGTGTGTGACCATCCAAATCAGATGAATTCAGGTTGACCCTGAAACCACACGTTTCAGTTTGGTGAAGGAAACTTTATTGGTTCATTGGATGTTAGCATTTGTCTAGCAGTGTGCCTTCACCCCACCATGGGTGGCTGAGCTTCTAGATACTATGCCCCTGATCTCTTGGACATGGAGTTCAAGTCCCCTGTTGGGAATTTGAGCACATATAGTCCAGGCTAACACTTCAATATAGTGCTAGGTTGAAAAAGAAATCCAAATTCCAAGGTCCATGTTAAGTATGGACAATCAGTTAGAATAGAAATGGTGCATCGTGCAGAATAAATCCTTTATGTGTTTAATGGAGCAGAAGCAGGTGATGACAAGAAATGCTCTGGTAATGTTCAGCTTCTCTCCGTCAGGAAGCAGCTGGCGGGAGTTAAATAACTAGCTCTGAAACCATTCCTGACAAATAGTTAGGCCTCTTGGAAAAGAAGCTGAAAAACCCCACCAGACTCAGTTTCCATCAAAAGTGATTATATATTGTACGTGGCTCAAGTCAGCAAGGATTTCACCGAAGAGCATCCTATTGCTAGGAAAGACTCATTGCTACACACTGATATGTGTCATTCTGGCAATAATGTTGCATGTATTTCATCCTTACTTGGAAACCATTTTCACGTAAAAACTGCTGAAATCCAGCTTCCAAAGTAGGATTGAATTTGAGAATTCTCCATACTTCCACAACAACAACAACTGGCATTTATATATCACCTTTCATGTGGGATAGCACCTTGGAGTGTTTAATTCTGTGCAAAGTTAAATTGTAAGACAAAATGACTAGGACAAGGTGGAATTTTGAGGCTCTTATGCATTTCGTCTTTATTTGGAAACCGGCTCCATTTAAGAACTGCTGAAATCCAGCATCCAAATCTAACTTGAATTTGAGAATTTTCCACAATTCTGCTCGATGTTCAATTACAAAGCAAAATGGTGACAAGATGTAATTTGAAGGCTCTAGTTGGCTAGTAGAATGCAGGCTTTGTGAAAACATGCAGCGGTTGGTAGGTGTTGGGTGATCAGTTTCTTAGCCAAAATAGGGGTTTGTTAAAGGGACATCTGTGTCACCCAAGTGAAGTTTCTGACTAAATGCACGCTGTTTTGTGAAACCCTCCCAAATACCGTAAAACATCCATGTGGAGGATAAATCAGACAGACATGAGCAGCTGGTACTTATCTATAAGAAGAGTGACAAGCTATACACCTAGATAGAGGAACCCTCTGTATATACACAGGGTGACCAAAAAGTCATGATATCTACCCTACTAAAAGAAAAATATCATAATTTCTTTAAGTTTTATCACCACTTTTTGGTCACCCTGTAGCCTGTGTACCTAAAATGATGATAATCCTTGCATTTGATAAGGAGCAATTCACATTCACAGGATGTCTCAGAGCTTCATAAGATTTACTCTATCATGTGTAGCAGCTAACTTGTGCACAGCAACGTCCCAGAAATGGTCAGGAAGTGAATGACCGATTTTATCTTGTGGAATGTTGGCTTGGTCACCGGGAGAAATTCCTCCTTTCGAGTAGGGCCATGGGATCTTTAATGGCCACCTGAATAGGCAGACGGGAGCTTAGTTTAACGTTCCATCTGAAGAACAGACTTCCAACAGTTCAGCGCATACCACAGCACTCCACTGAAGTGTCAGCTTAGTCTGCAAGTTCAAAGTCCCCAACAAAATTGGTCACTCAATCAACAACTGTTTATGGGACACTACTGTGCCCAATTGTCTGCCACGTTTCACCCACAAAATATACAGTCAATTCACTTCTCAGTATATTCTGTGAATCACTTTGAAACGTCTTGAAGACGTGATAAGGCACCATATCAAATGCAAGGATTATTATTATTATCATTATTTTGTTGGGGCAGCTCTGCTTATCAGTTCTATCCCAACACCAATCGCTAATGGTTAAGATTGGAAACTCAATGTTGTGTGGAAAGCGAGCCTACGTAGAGCCTACATGAGATGCCTGGGGTATCCCCTCCAAGCATCTGTTATTCTATGTGTTTCTGATTGAAAGATCCCTTTATAATTGTGGTATATGAATCTTTTATTTATGTATATTCATTTAAATACACAAACCGTGTTTAATAATAGTGACAGGAAATCAGCATTTTTGCTTTGAATTCCTAACACATGCCGCTCACCACTTCCAGATTTATGCAATAATATATTTTAAAAAAGTCACTTAAGATGTTCATTTAACTCGCTAATCAACACAGACCTAGATTCTAAAAAGTTGTGGTATTAAATAATTAATTTTTTCCCTGACTAATTAGATTTCAAAAGCCTGCATGCACATCGGTGAGATGAATATATTAAACGGATAACCTCTGAACTCCGAAAGTCAAAACTAGTTGAGAAATAAGAGAGCAACGATTTGGATTCTTTGTTTAAGAAAAAGCACATTTAGAAATCACACAAATTAGATGACCCAGCAAAACAGGGAAACTTGGGAATACAATGTACAAGACTGGAAAAGACTGGCCATTTAATTGGCTGTCCATCTGATTTAATTTTCTAAACACCATCATTCTATCTCGAAAAGCTTTTATCCAATCCCCGGCATAAAAGTTCTTAGTGAAAGCCAATGAAGCTTGCATTGTGCATCTTGCACGCACCTTTAAATTAAATATCCTTAGTCGAATGGCCCTCTGCTGCCTGTTCTCATAACAGTGCATTGTGTCCATTATCTTTGCCTACAAAATTGTCAGTGCACTTCCCAGTAAATCCTGTGAAGCGCTTTGAGACATTTGGTGTTATGCTAAATGCAAGGATTATTTCTTGAGTACGTTCCTTTCCAGCCTGGAACAATCCACATGGTTTCAATTTGTGTCCACGTCTAAATACCATCACCACTGCAGGACAAGTGGCCTCAATGGGTTTGAAGTCTGTCCTTTCAATCTTTCCCCACCCTAACTCACCCCCCACCCACCTTCATCTCTTCATTTTGTATTAAAACCCTGCTCAGTCTCCTTGTGCCTCCAAAGGTTTGATAAGAAATTAGTTTGGCTAGTCTCCATGCAGCTTCTGAGCCGCAGTATATTAAAGGAAGACATCAATGTTTTTATTAGCTTTCACTTGGGATGGAATTTTATTGTCCATTTTACAATTGCCGGGCTGCTAAATGCCACCACTTTCATTGATTGCCTGAACTGCTTTGCCTTCTATTACTTTCCTTTATTTACGGGATCGTTCCAGGATGACTGACTTTCTGCGTCCCCAAGAAAGGACTAGTTGTGCGCATGAATTCTGCATTCTGAATCAGTGTTAGAGATTTCACGCTGATCCCTTTGAACATAAAGTGCGTATACGGTCACCTCCCACGCCTGCGCCCCCGCCCCCACCCCCTCCACCCTGGCTCGGTGTCAGACTCCACCATTGTCAAGTGCTGCAGGACGCTATCCTGCATGAAGGGCGCTATATAAATGCAAGTTGGGTTGTTGTTTGCTCCAAGTGAACGTAATATACAGTATTATGATGACATTCCATGAACAAACATTCTAATATCAATGTGTGCATTGCGGTCTCACACTTAACATCAATCTCACATGTGCATCTTGCCACTTGTTAACCTCTACCTGCATTTGGTTCGTCACAGAATGAAGTCCTGGTAGAATGATGAATTGCAATAATATCCCAAATGCGATGGCAGACAATTTGGTAACACTGCAATTTGGTGACACTACATTCCCCCCCCACCCCTCTAAATGATAGCTTTATTGTTTTTTGTGAAGTATGAGAGGACGTATTGTATCACCCGTGTATTTGAATGCACAAGGAATTTGTTTAATGACAGCTATGGAGGCTCTTCAGTGCGGACACATATTCAGAAAAGTGTGTCATTAAAAGAAATTTGAGATTGCAGTTAATGAGTTTTCTTTTCAGTGTTTCATCTTTTCTCTTCTCCTCTGAAACATAAATAACTACATTAGAAAGTATCAACCATTCCATTGTGATATTAGTCGCATAATGGCTAGCAGTCATTAATAAAGTATACCAAACATGGTGCAGATTTATCTTCCTTTACAGTGCAGTTCCCCTCTTGTTATTTTAACAGTACTTGCTTGAATTGAGCTTATGTGTTTGATACCTAAAGACAGATTTGCCTTTTCTAAGGTCAGAGACCTTGGTCAGGTAAAATTAACAGTATTGGATTGATTTGGTGTAAATAGACTATGAGATATGCATTTACAGATGACTGAATAGCTAAACATGTATATGCAATGTCAGACAGCAAGTTTGGGAAGATGTAATTGCTCTAATAAGGCTGCAAGTTCAAGGACCACGTAGGAGAAAATATTGTAAAATTTTAATTTAATCATGTACCAACGCTTCTTTTGTCAGGTTTGGATGCTCATGGCATTTACAGAGTGAGCGGCAATCTGGCTACGATACAGAAACTGCGATTTGTGGTGAATCAGGGTGAGTATTGACCGATGCAAGTGTGCAATTGTATTCCCGTCAGCCTATCCAACTGGAACTAGGGAGGATTTCTTTCAAGCCGGCTCCGACTCCATTTTCCCTATATGCAGAGAGCATGTTGCGTTTAATGTCGGGTTCGAAATGCTTTGGAAATTGATTCAGATTTTCAAAATGATCCTTTGTCGCTGTCTGGGGATATAAAAATAATTAACCTTGCATTTGATATAGCGCCTTATCACGTCTTCGAAACGTCTTAAAACGCTTCACAAAATATACCATAAAGTTTAGTGACTGGGTGTTTTGTGGGCGAAACGTGCAGCCAATTGCACACAACAGTGTCCCACAAACAGCCGTGGATTCAGTGACCACATTATTATATATTTTTTGAGGGATTATTACCCCTGGAAAGCGATGCGCCAATCGACTAATAAGTGGGTTCCTACTTACTGCTAAGTAAACAGAGGCGTGTGTGTGGTTTAAGGAAATTTGCCTAAGCTTTCATTCTGCTCAGGAACCGAACCCGGGTCCTCTCGCTCACTCGAACGCACTCACAACAACAACAACATCTTGGATTTATAATTCGTCCTCCACGCCGGACGGCATCTCAGAACGCTTGAACTGCGCTAACCACTGCGCTACACGACTATATCCTATATGCTTTTTTCTCCAGCACTGAGGAAAAGTGCTGCACCCTAATTGATTTTTTTTACACTGCAGTCACTCTGTATTTCTCCACATGTAACCTTCCATGTCTGTATACTCACAGGCCCTTGCAGAGATACAGTTGCACTCTTCATGATCTTTAGCAAATCACAACGACAACAACTTGGGGCCTTTTGTTTAGGGGAGTGTCTCAAAGCTCTTTTATAAGTGGAAGATGGGGGTGGAAAGGAAGGGGTGAAGGATTAGGCAGAAGACGGTAAAAAAAAGAGAGAGGTTTTCACGTAGGTTTTAAAGGCGGAGAAGGTATTCCAAAAAACGGGGTCAAAATTGGTTCAATGTGTTTTCATTTGTTTATTTCTTGAATATTACAGTTGCTCTCATTTGAGTTCTCATTTTCTGTATATAAATCCACCTTTTTAATGCAGCTCATGTACTCTACTAAAATACTTTTACAGCCAAACAAGTACCCAAACTGGTCCAACTCCGTAGAGAAGTTTACTCACATCAGCAGAGTCTTGATTCTATTTGGTTACTTTCTTTCATTTACATGAAGCCTTGTTCTCTTGGAATGCAATGTATATCTGTCACATATACTTACGTACTGGAATCAGATCACTAGGATCAGGGAAAAGCACAAGGATGTGTCATCTCACGCTCTCCCTCTGGAATTCTGCTGGACTGATTATCTCTGGTCCCATTGCATGAAATTGGATGGCAGGCACAGAGAAACTCAGAAAAAGATGAGAAGATGGCAAATGAGTGGAGTTCTGGGAGACTAGCCTGATATATATATATAATAATAATCTTTGCATTTGATACAGTGCCTTACCATTGCCTTCGAGACATCTCAAAACGCTTCACAGATTATACCATAAAGTGAATTGACTGTATCTTTGTGGGTAAAATGCGGCAGCCAATTGCACACAGCAGTGCCCCACAAACAGTCGTGGATTGAGTGACCAAATTATTATTTATTATATTTATTTTTGAAGGGATTATTATCCCCAGAAAAGTGGGCACTTGTAGGATTATCTTTTTGGTGAATTACTCTCAGTGCCATTGCATCGTTACGCCAAGCATAGAGTTCAAACACAAAAGAAACATATGCTTCACCTTGTTTTATTCTTCAGTAAAATCCACCAAGTGATGTTTATATTGATGGGAGTGAAGCCACATGGACCGATGAACTGAAAATGCACAGAATGCCACATCATGGCAATCAAGCTAAAATCCACATTGAAGCTAAAGGTGCCCACCTCAGTTTTGGGGACTTATGACAAGATCAATGTCAATCATACTATACCACTCACAATCAGTGAAAATATTGCCAATACCACACCAGTGAGATAGCACTACAGAATGGTGCCTTGCTCACCCCTATCTCTTTTTAACCAGGAAACATGGTTGAGAGTCCTGGGCTTATTTAAAAACTACAGTTTGATGCTGTGATGGGAGGATGATAGGGTGAATATTCTAGAAGTATGAGATCAAATGGGCCGAAAGGGTCTTCCTCATACGAATTTCTCTTGTGGTCTAGCCACAGCGTCTTTTGTTTTACCGCCATTTATATAATATAATCCTTGCATTTCATATAGCGCCGTAACACGTCTTCGAGACATCTTAAAGCACTTGACAGAATATACTGTAAAGTGAATTGACTGCATATTTTGTGGGCGAAACGCGGCAGCCAATTGCGCACAGCATTTTTTTGAAGGATTTATTGCCCAGGAAAAGTGATCCGCCAATTGACCTACAACCGGGTTTCTACTTACTGCTAGACAAACAGGCGTGTGGAGTAAGGAAACTTGCCCAACATTTCGCCCTGCCCGGGAATCGAACCCAGGTCTCTCGCTTACACGGCGAGTGCTCTAACCACTGAGCTACAGGACTCCACTTGCAGCTGGATTTAACCCGACGCCAGTAATCTGTCATCCAATTTGTAGCGTAACAACAGAATCAAGCGTTGAGGTCGGCTTTGCTGGGTGAACGAGCAGGGATACTCCAGTTAAAATGAGATGCAACTCACTGAGGATGTAAGTGACAGGGGTTAGCATAACCAGTAGTGCTAGAGCCCTTCCATTTGCTTCTGTTTCCTGTAGTAAATATCTGTTCTGCTTTGTTGCACTGTCAAACATAGTTACACAGTGCCCGTGAGTAATGGTGGATAGAAGTCTGAATGGACTCTGTCTCTTATATGGATGCATGAGTTTGAGAGTGAAGGAGACATACTCTTTCCCAGATCACAACATACTACTAGATGGTAATCTTTCTTCAAACGGAGATTATTTTATTTATCACTGCATTCTATTTGCCAGACGTCCTGTTTCCTTCCTCCTTTCCACTACCCCCTCATCTCCCCTCTCCCTCCCACCCCCATCAGCAGTGAACCCAACAGAGTTTAGAGCCACCTTGGCAGAAGCACACACATTTTCTTTCTGACAGCCACATGTTAAAAGATTAGATGGATACAAGAACATTGCACCTTTTAATGCTCTCATTTTCTAACTGTGTTTGGACATTGTTTGACATGACGGTCTCCAGACCACACCACAAATCCCGTTGTTTGCTAAAGCAATCAGTAGGTAATATTTCACTCCGAAAGGAAGTCGTCCTTAATTGTCTCTACATGCGCCTGGTTCCAACCAGATTATTTAATGAATCTATCACAGGCAAGGAATTTTTTTTGGATACCATTATGTACTTTTAAAGTGTTTACTGCCAATACTAATTTATTTCTCCATATGCAGAGCAGCACATCAATTATTTCATCATCTGTTTCCACAGCGCCATGTATAAAACGCCTGCCTACGTTGAACTGTTTAACTCAACTACCTGATAATTGCAGTGTTCAAGGAAGTATGACACAAGAAAACCTACTTATGCTGACTTATTGGGAATCCGGCAGCTGGGTAACATAAAGAAGGGGGTTATTATAAACTTTAATCTATATATTTTTCTCTTAAGATAATATCTTAATGAATGCTTGAGCAATAGAAAAAGCACAACAAGCATACTTCAGAACTTTACTTCTTTGTGGAGGAATTTTAAATATGCATTTTGAAAAAAATATTCGAAGGATAGTGAAATAATGCTTGCTTCACCACTTCACAGTGCAGTAATTTCCTGCAGCGAATTTATTCGAGAATATCAGATATCTTGGGTTGAGATACCTCCTCTGATCTATCTCAACGGTCAGATAAGAGTCATACTTCCTATGCTCTCAGTGGTGAATCACCCCAATTTTCACAGCGAACTGTCTTGTATTTTTACAATTTGCATTTGATACAGCACCTTATCACATCATTGAGACGTCTCAAAGCGCTTCATAGAATATACTGTAAAGTGAACTGACTGTATATTTTGTGCTGTGAAATCCCAGTATAAATCTGACTGGAGCCCGTTTAAATAGTAGGTGTTTTGGGGGCTGATCCTCAATGATCCAGCAATGTAACATCGTGGGCACAAATTAGTATTGTTTCTGTTCTAAGATTATATATAAAATGGTCCCTTAACAACTCTTGATTGATGAGGGAGATGATCCCTGACATTTAACATGCAATTTCTGAAATGCTTACTTCAAACCCAAGAGATTTGGAAATAAAACCTAGCATTATTCCTCAGGCACGAACAATGATAATAACAATAATCCTTGCATTTAATATGGCGCCTTATCTTGTCTTCGAGACGTCTCAAAGAGCTTCACAGAATGCACTGTAAAGTGAATTGACTATATTTTGTGGGCGAAACACAGCAGCCAATTGCGCACAGCAGTGTCCCACAAACAGCCGTGGGTTGGGTAACCAAATTATTTTTATTTAATTATTTATTTATTTACTTATTAGAAAAGATTATTTATTACGTAGAGCAGTGAGGCAGAGCAAGCGGCAAGGGGCATGGCTGAGGGAGGTGGTCTCTCCATCAAACACATACACACGACATGTTGTTACACACAAGACAGCGATTGAGTGTGATACAGAATGGTGGTGCCGAGTTAGTTGGGGGTGGTGACAGGGTGGGGTGGGGAACAAGTGCAATGGGGACAACTCCACTGGGGACAGGGAATGAGGTAGCACATAGGCAAAGAAATAAAACACACAAAAAAATGATCCCACAATATCAACATTGACACAAATGATAATGACAGAAGTGAAACGGGGTGTTGTGTTGTGCAGCCCCTGCAGTGAGGATGTTGGTCAGTTTCAAGCGTGTTCAGACCGAGCGATATCAAACAAGTTTCTGAATTGTTCGGAGGTTCCCTGAGTACTGTTTGACACTGTCAAACCAACTGGGTTAAAGTGATTCCAGTTCTTATCACAGTCTTGATGGTTTTAATCGCT